TTTGGGACAAATTCTACTAATAACACGGCTTAAGACTTTAAATGTGTGATTAATTTGCTAATTAATCACTACTTATGTTTAATAATTTACTAAACATAATACTTAATTACCAAAAGTATTCCGAACGTAAACGGTACGCCGAAAATAAATTTCGGTAATCTCGACTGAATTGACTGAAAATAATTAATTTCGATAATTAATATCGGAACTTAAAGACATAACTTATACTGACGGGATGTCGCTGACTGAATAATTAATTCCGTACTCATTAATTAATTAAACGAATCGGAATTAAATCTGGAAAACTTATTCGGTTACTAAAATAAGTAAACCGAATAACTTATTGACTAATAGTCGAACATAGGATATGACTGACTGATTAATCTGAACTTGAACATGAACATGATTATTTATTAATAAAGGCTAGCTTAAAACTGAAAGTTAGTATTTCCTTTATTAATAAAATACGGGGCGTTACAATCCACCCCCCTTTAAATATTTCCGTCCTCGGAAATAGTAAAACTGGAATGTACAAGCTTAACTTAAAGCTTATACTTACTGATTGCATGACTTGAGAATCCAGTAATTTAATACTGAATAAGAAACTTGATCTGAACTGAAGATGCATCAATTCACAGTTAAGTGAATTGTAGAATACTGCTGACTGAGAATGGACACTTTTCTGAAAGAATGTGTTCCATTGATAAGACATGATCTCAAAAACGAAAACTCTGAAACATATTGGTCATCATCTCCTGGCTGTTGACTAATCTCCAATCGGAATGCTGGTGGTGAAACTCCTGTCGTTGGCACACATGGAAGATTCCAGAGATTCACATATGCACAAATGAGGATAACTAGCTATATTGGTCATTACCTTTTATGAATGTCTGCTCGACAATGCGGCACATCGTTCGCGGCACATTGTATTGCGGCACACCTGCTCCTCATAAAGTGAGTGCGGCACGCCTGCATACAGCACCTGGCGAACATTGCGCCTGCATCGTCGACGAAATCTGATCGCATAAATACCTCAAGCTAGTAACCTCAATGTACATTAATACTAACTCTCTGTAATCTCCCAGTGTATTGAGACTCAAGCATGGCATCTTTGAATGGAAGGCGTCGGTTTGTCATCATAGCACGATCCGTTGCTGTCGATTGGCCCTTCTTTGTCGCGGCGTATGTCAACCTGTGGTACCTGCAACTTTTTACTCCCTCCGAGGTTAAACTTAACCTCAAGAAGAAGTCCATCATGACTGAATATCTCCCTCGATTTCTCAGATTCTTCAAAATTTGAGTCTCGAGGCGCTGACATACTGAAAATGATAGATAAGTCTTGTCTTATTGGACAGACTATTCTTGATCTTGACATGACTGGTCTGAATGACTGAATTACCATGACTTGACTCTAACATAACTGAATCATCTTTGCCTGAACGCTGAAAGCTATCCCGAGACAACTAAAATAGTCGCTTCGGAATTGAGAACGTGATATTTACTGACTTACTTGACTTGATAGGGTACGACTTCAAGTTTCCAGGTAAATTTGGACTAATGGTCTGTATATCAGACCGCCACATTTTAGCCCGGCTGAACAACTATTATACGTCGACCTTACATCATGAACATAAACTGTAAATCGTGAACATGAATTTATAACTTTGTACTATATAGGCTGTTCCAGTATCAACTGGTCCCGCAAGTACAAAGTAATTAGCTGATCTTGATCTTTGAAAATCATAACTTGAAATATCATGACTGATAAAATACCTGACATGACTGACTTGAAAGGTTGTTATTACATGAAATCATACTGCTCCATTTTCAGCTTCAAGCCTCCATGGTATACCCGGCTGAATGGCTATAATTTCAAGCCTCCACGGTAACCCGGACTATTGACTCTTATACACTGGAAACCGTTACCTTAACAATGACTTGAGAATTATAACAACCTTTAACATGAAAATTCTTGCCTTTGAACATGATTTACTGATCTGACTTAGGAAATTTGAGTCTATTCCTCGAATTAAATTAAGGAATTTCTCTCTGAAGTCTGCCAATTGATTGACAAAATGGCAGTTCTCGATAAAAATATCTGAGAAACATGATTATTAAGATTTGTTTAGCACAAGTGCTTACAAATCTCCTGACAAGTTGTTAACTTGACTTGAGTAAATCTAGAATTGAATCTAGAGTTCTTAAACTTAATCCCTTTCTAAGGTTCTGAATCCACTCGTCCACGATATTGGGATCTCCCTGCCCTGAGAACTTTTCAGCGTGATAGTCGCGGAACTGAGCAACTACCGTAGCCTGGGTAGGAGCCTGATGATCGGGTTCCCTACGTGGCGGCATCTGAACATTGAGAAAGTTTAACATTACTGAATACGTGATAACATTCTGACTGATTACTAAAGCACACAAATCTCTTGACGAGTCGCCAAAAGTGGCCGATAAATACTGACGTGAATCCTGAGGAACTCTAGAGTCATATAGGAAGATCCTAATGTCTAGAGTCAGATCTGAATGCCTGAATTCTAGAGTCATGTCCGAACTCTAAAGTCTGAAGTTGATTCGAGCATCTTAACTAAAGTCCTGATCCTTAATTCTGAGCATAGACAAAGTAATATGTTTATAACTGAAAAACTGAATCAGCACTTACCTGTCGTCGGCAGGGCGTGAGCATGACGGTTCAGGTTTTTCTGAAAAATTACTGACTGAAAAACTTTTCAGAGACGCAGAAACGTGCTCTGATACCAATTGTAACACCCCTCCTTATTGTAAAATCAGAGTGCGAAAATTTCGCAAAGTTACTTAAAATAAAGACTTTTTACTTTGCGAAAACTGATTCGGGGTGCTACCTTAAAATCGTGACTTAATTTGGAAAACCGTTATGTTAATTTTTAATAAAATCATCTGGTTTCTGAAAGCATAAAGTTTTCCAAAAGTTCGTCAAATTATAAGTACGTAAAAAGTCATCCAAAACATCGTTAGAAGTCATCAAAACATCAATAGCGGAAGCGTAAGTCATCATCATAAATATACAGTCAAAAAAGTAAATATTCTGAAGCCTCCGTCAGCTCATGCTCCCGGCCCGACATCCTGACCTGAAAAAAACATGATAAAAGTGGGAAATGAGCA